TTCATGTCGCGCTGAAGGCGGGAGACGCTTTTCGCCCAGTTGCAACAGGGCAGTCTTGAATTCACGCATTTTCGCCAGAGTGCTGCGATGCAAGTCGAAACCGAGATTATGTGGCTATTTCTCGCCGTATATATCATAACGGTTAAGCCTATGTATCCCATGATACGCGCGTATGATACGAGCCACAATGACATATCGGCTTGTGAGTGTAGGTTTATTGTATCAGACGTAAATTCGTGCATATTCCGAAGAAAGTAAAATAATTCGCGAATAAAACTATCTCGCACGTGACACGTTCAGAGTTGAGCTGACCTTATAATTTTAGTAGCTAACGCAACTTTTGTTTGCATGTGTGATTGCATGTGTGATTGTTGCATGTGTAAACCTTGCTGAAGAATATCCCGCCCTTTGTTTTTAGTTCCTGAATGAATGAATAAACTTTGTTTAAATCTCGGCAGTTTTACTGGGCGAGGTCGGGGAAGAGGGGATTAACCCTTCTGATGGCGGTGCCTAAAAGTTTCTGAAAAAAGTTTTAAAATTCTTGGCAAAATTTTAGGGTGTACGGTAGGGTGATTACACCTGCCAAACACACAATCTAATACCGAAACGCACTGTATTAGAAGATTCTGGCTTAATACTGTCCACCTGGAGAAACGATCATTTTCACATTGTGCTTTCATTTAGATGCGCCAGGTCGGTGCACCCCTCCACCCATCGGAAATAAATCAATGAGTACGACGAGTGGCATTGCGAATCGAACCCAGCACCTCCATCATTGGAAGTGGGCGCTCTAACCATGTATTCACCACTGCGATTAGTTGACGGCTAAAATACGGCTCGTAATTTAAAAGAAATCACGTCAAACGAAACGCAATGCTGAAGGAGATAAACTGTTTTTCATTTCAAAATTTTCTGGTCACTTGGCAATATCAGTAGATTTCATTTATTACTTCACTAACACGTCTAGCGAAATTTCTACATATTGATATTTGGCTAAGGTATTCGGCTACTCAAACGCAGGTCATAGGATCGAATGCCGGCTGTGGCGGCTGTATTTTCGATGGAGGTGAAAATGCTTTAGGTCCGTGTGCTCAGATTTGTGTGCACGTCAAAGAACCCCAGGTGGTCGTAATTTCCCGCACCCTCCACTACGGCGTCTCTCATAAGTATATGGTGGTTTTGGAACGCTAAACCCCACGCATTAATACATATTTATATTACAACTATTATGCAAACGGTCAATAGGTTCGGCAACCTTTGCATATTGTGACTTAGCCGTTAAACGATCCCAAGATTTCTCCCCACAAGAGATTATGGAGAACTCCACGTGATGAAGAATGCCTGATAAATGACGTAGTGTCTGATAAATGTGCATGAGATTTAGATTCTGAACCACAAGTTTGCACACTCACTGCAACGATCAAAACAATTAAAAAAATACTTTAACTTCCCAAGCCCTCAATTCATTTACTATGGTGGCAGCAATATCATGACATTGTGAAAACCACCATCATATTTAAGGTTAAAGTTTCACACGCCTCATCGGAAGCATCACCAAAAGCATTCAAGGCCAAGCCCCATACGCATGAAAAAGAATGCGGCAGCGATGAGCGACAAAACGGGGGTTGTTCGCGCGTTGTGCGCGTGGATGCATCGCGCGATCGCTCGCTTTTGAATGCGAAGCATTTGTTAGCGAACTTCGCCGACTTTGAGCGTGTCTATCTATCTATCTATCTATCTATCTATCTATCTATCCACTTACGTTTGGGTGCTCTCGTGGTGACCCCCTTAACTTGGCGTGTGCTGAAATTAGCATGGGAGGGTAACATGCTTTGACGAATATGACGCGCTAATCAAGACATGAATAATGTCACAATCTCATCTCGTACGTCGTCAAACACTTCCCGCCAGACAGTGGCACATACCCACGGACGGGCATTTGCCGCTGGTATTCGGGTGTGTGCCACAGGTGATTGACAGTATAAACCCAGGGACTACGAGAACACGCATGGGTGATTTCAACGCGCGAGCCTTAAGAAATACGCGACATTGGTAGCGTTGACCCGACGAATGCAAAGAATAAATGTCGGGGTCCCAGCTGGAATCGAACACAGGCATTCTGCGTGGCAATGAAGCATTTTTCCACAGAGCTACGCCAGGTCTCGGAACTACTTTTCAAAATGACGCTATAATCTTCGTGAAACGGAAATAGTGGTTGCGGTGCTGCCTACCCAATCTTATAAATATTACATATTTGCTCCTTTGATACAGCCGTCCCGTGGGGTTAACGTCAATTGTGGTTAGTTGCCATGCGCTGAAGTTGATTTATGTAGCACTCACGGTATTGGGCCAGCATCCTCGCAAACATCAGCGCTTCATATCAGCGTCTGGTGTTGCTAATACGATTGTTTCAGTTGGTATCGTTGCGCAAGTGCAAACAACTGGTTATATAAACATCTGTGACTCTTCAACATATTCCTGTGCGTGCAACATTTGTACATAGGTTTAGCGTAATTTCAAGACGCATCACTGCATAAAAAAACTTGCAACACGGTCACCATCCCTCCGTATGCTTCGCATAACGTCAATTCTCAGGTACGTGGGATCTGCCGAATTTTTCCACATTTGGACTATGTCGCCCGTAACCTGGAAGGGCTGTGCTCGAGCAGTCAATAGCAAAACACCGATACAGAATGCACAGAGTCATCCACAAGAGTTTGCGGACCTCGCGAGCACGTACCGAAATGTCTATCCACGCCACCTAGCGGTGAGCCATCTACCGTCGATCGCAGTGCTAAGCTGGACACGGCCGTTCTTGTTATTCACTGGCCTTTCGATTTTAACTCATTGTTCGCAGTTATTACGTCAAGCGCTTATCTGCAGTATGACCGCCACATTTCTATTTTCATAGCAGGATGAAAGCTACGACGTGGCTATAGAATGGCGTTCGGTTTGCTTGCTATCACTTTGTGATAAGGATTGCGACTGATAATAGTTATTAAGATAGAGTGCTCTCCAGGCAGAAGCACGTTCATGAAGATGCCAGAAAGCGCGTCACGTTTAAAAAGTGAAAGATGAAAATTATTTTTGTACCCGGTCAGGAAAGAGACAGGCCATACATTGAGGAAAGGGAGGTACTCGGGCGCTGCGGTGCTGTCGATCACCGCTGAAGTAGCGGATGTGTCACGAAGAGGCTTTTGGCCACGTGTTCGCGTGGTAGGCAACCTTGTGTGGTCGACTATACATTAGCATCGTGCCGATGACACTTACTTATCGCGGGAACCAGCAGCGTGGTTGTTGCCACTTGCTTATCGACGGGCACTAGGAACAACGTTCATCAACACGGCCAACGGCGACGAACGCAACGCTGACGTCGTTGATCGCAGACGCTCATTTATGGCACCTCAGGTACAGGAACTACAATTCTCGCGCCGACTGTGACGTGGCTTGGCGGCACGTAGCAGTGGTGATGTGATCTGATCGAACGAGATACCGCAAGACACACAATTTGTGCACCGTTATGCAACAAAGCACATTTAGCATTGCATGCCGCTGACAACACACCACTCTTGGTACGAGTAAACGACCTCATGCCAGCAACAGTGGAGATCGCTGGCCGAAGCAGTCGCGTGAATGTAGTTTGCCCATACAAGCGAACGTTTGCGCGAAGGGACTATAGAGCGAAGGCGATCTACGCGTCGCGTCGTTAGTCGCTGTCCCGAGCATTTTCGCGCATATATAGGGTTTGGTCTGCACCGTAGGCGCCCTTGGCATCAACGCGAGTGACGAAAAAAATCACGTCAGGACGCTATCATGCGTCTTTGGAACACTTTACATCGACAGCTAGAACCATGTTTTACGGTAACCAGCTTTTCACACACAGCTATCTGTAATATGACGCACCATCGAGTTAGGAGACGACAAAAAAAATTGTCTTGTCGTTTAGGGCTGTGAACGGGCCGAATTTCAGAGACCGGCCCGGACGGCTGACTTAGTCGAAGTACCGCCAGAGTCTGATGCTACAGGGCCGCGAGCCAGTTTGACCCGGCCCGACGTACAAAAAAAAAAAAAAAAACCCGGGGCCCGGTCCGGCCTGACATTATGAAGGTTTTCTGCAGAGACAAGGTGGACTTTTCTGATGATGTGGCCCTTTTAACATAGCAGAGGAAAGCATAAGGAAACGACATATGAAATTCACTATGTTCAGCGATTACAACTCGTCGTGTAAAAATAAGAATCCAATCATTCGTGAAATACGGCGCTCCTGCTTCCCATATCTCGCCCATATACTAAACGTCCGTTCCCGTAGCAAACTTGGCAGACATAGAAAACTAGGAATATTTAGTTCATTCTTCCAGTGGTGTAGTGCCTCAGATGTAGGAAAAGAGATTATTTCGTGTATAGATAATGACAAAGCCTATTTTGTGTGACTTGACCCTCTCCCCTTGTGTTTAAAGTGGCTAAAGCAGAGGACAACAGAGACAAAAAGTTGAAGGCGGTGGTGAAGAAGGCGCTCGCGGAGAAAAACAGTTCGGGCACATCTACTTGTGCTTCATTCGGGCTTTGCATCAGGCCCGGCCCACCCGACAAAAACAATCCAGCCCGAGCCCGGCCCACAGGCCGGGCTGGCACATTCACGCTACCCGAAGCCCGTGTACGCTACCCGAAGCCCGTGTAGGGGACACGCAACTTCATGTTGCAAAAAAAAAAACGTGCTTCGGCGACGCAAGCTATTGCAGAGACATGACTAAAAACTTACGCAATACGTCACAATACACATGCTGAATACGTGTCACGCAAGTTCAAGACCAAACAGGTATCAAAGTGTACATTACAGGCGCATGTAATGATCTGCTCAACAATCCCCCACACCCTCCGTTTTCTTGTTTTTTTTTCTTGTCGCGTATGTTTTTTTGCTGGTGTATATATGTCACAGCTACGCCTTTACAAGTATATACTGTCTGTGAGCACGTCAGCGCCAGTATATTTGCAAGAAGATGTATCAAAATATATAAAAAGTTTATTCATATACAGTATAAACGCAGCAGTGCGCACACATGTAATAAATTATGCTTGAAAACAGAATCTCTAACAGTGAACGGTCCACTTGAAATATCCGCAAGCCAGGACTACAGCTCTGTTTTCGCAGTTGTGGCACCTGGAAACAAGCGAACAGGAACGTGTTATTATTTCTATAAAAAAGCCTGTGTCCACCGCTGCTATAATAGCTGGTGCAGTGAAGTAAAATTTACTGTGTAAAATATACAACACATTGTATAGAACTAATTATTCATGTTTTTTAGTTGCACAAGACTTACAGTAGAATTAGTATAATTGCTACGTCTTGTTTCTCATGTCACTGGTAAGAGTAGAAGAGATAACATCAGCTGACTGTTTCTGCGGAAACAATGACCCTACACAACGGCTCGATCGTCACCTAACTGGTCGCATCGGATTGCTGAACACCGCTGAAGAGCAGACACGCATAATAAGGATACCGTCAAAAAATACACCCACCTGCATCGATGCAACTTATACATTTATATCATAAGCGTTAGAGAAGAAAGGGGTGAAAAAAGATTATGGCTGCGACTTCAGCCACAAATATTCTCCTACAAGAAATTATTTTGAGTTTTACCTCAGCGCAACGGCAGACATACAAAAGTTTTACCTGCAAATAACGACTCCAGTAAGAACAGTCGCATCAGGATGACTATTAACGTCGTCGTAAATTAGCCGCGTATAAGGAAACGTCAATTAAAATGAAGAAGGACTTCCCAATGTGAAAGGCCAGCCCTGCAGCTGAAGTGCCCAGTGTATATACATAAAGTGAAGGTCGACGACGTAAGCCACCTGTACGGCCGTGAAGTTATTTTTAGACAGTATTTTTGGGATTTTCGTACACAATAATTGGTGATCATTCTCACTATCTTCCCTCCTTCGCTGAACATCAAACGCGAGCGTCAAACGCCCCAAACGTGTGGCTGGCACTTCAGACTAAAGTTTCGAATCGTAGGAGAATAGGGAGGCGGAAGAGACGACTACCGGAAGAGATGACTAGCACGGCGGGTGGCGACGTGAGCGTCGGGTGCAAGGCGTCCCCGGTAACCTGGCACACCCAGGAGCCGTCGTCGCGGCCCCGGGTCAGGCCACGCACCACGAGGCTGCAGTCACCGTCACGACCGGCGCCGGCCCACGACAGGTGCGGCAGTCGGGCCAGGCTGGCGCCCACGTTGCGGCCGTCGCGCAGCCACAGGCAGTCGCCGGCCGCCGGGTCCAGCACGGTGCAGCGCAGCTCGACAGTTCCTCCTTCGGGGCCGACTTGCGAAGCAGGAAGCTCGCTGAACCGCCATGTGCCTACGTCACAAAACAAGCATAATAAAAAAAACTTGCTCTATAACACTCGAAAAAGAAAAACCGCTTCACACTAGGCAATGCATTAAGTATATAAAAAGAACCAGACTTCTTTCAAGCCTTAACGAACCGCAGGGTGAGTGACGCATTAAACTACTTGAAAGTTTTCAGACAATTTCATTGTTTCCTTGACTGAAGCTTTCTGCGCCTCACGTGGTCTACGCGACTTTCTCCGTCATAGCTGACCTGCACATCACGTCACACATGACACATCACAAACAAATCGCACACATTACAAATACATCACACAAACACGGCAAAATGGTGGCCTGCGGCCACCATTTGCCGTGTTTGATGTGTTTGTGTGTGTGGAGGGGCGGGGGGCTGTGTTTGTAGCCGGCGACTTCTAGGGCTCATTTCACAATGAAATATTCACTCAAAGATCATTTTTCATGTAATTACAGAGACAAGCGGTCCTCTACTACTAGTGTTCACTGAAAACCGTAGACTGCTGGGTGACCGTGTCACGGCCCCTTTGAGTATCGGTTCCCAACCGACGCCCCTACCTGATTCTCCGGTTCCACCAGCTACGGATGCCGCTCCTGGCGCCGTCAAAGAGGCAAACCAAACTAGAAGCTTGTGCACGTTCTCCTCGTCAGACCCGCGGCCTCCGGTAGCGTTCAAAGTCGACATGTCGAACCACTCGCCTTGATCCTGTAGGCAAAGCCCAAAGGAACAAAATATGTCGCATATAAGAGAGCTTCGCTAATGCAACACTAGATAAACGCAAGCGGCCGAATCTGTATGTTGCATGCTTTTGAGCCATAACATTGGATTTTCGAGATAAGGAATCGCCGTGATAAGCAGTGCCTACTGACGTTTTTAGCCTACTCTATAGAAATCTTAATTGAAATTTCGTTTGACAAAGCTGAACTTCACTATAAGCAGTTGACCCAACATTGTGATCCTGCATGCCCATGTTCCATAAAAAGTCTATTGATTGCAGTATATTACATATATATATATATATATATATATATATATATATATATATATATATATATATATATATAATCCAGCAGTTCCTCCGTGAGCGGTCACAACGTGGTTTATTTCGACGTTTCAACCTAGAGTCTGGCCTTCATGAAGGCCAGATTCTAGGCCGAAACTTCGAAATAAACCACGCTGTGACCGCTCACGAAGGATCTACTGGACTATATGCAACGCTGTGGCCACTCAACCACCATGCCTGCCTATATATATACATACATATACATACATACATATATACATACATACATATACATATATATATATACATATACATACATACATATACATATATATATACATATACATACATACATATACATACATACATATACATATATATATATATATATATATATATATATATATATATATATATATATATATATATATATATATGAGAACGACTAGTCATATTTATTGAATTGTGCGCTAATTATAACAATTTCACCAAGCATACCCCATCTAGTTTTAATAACAGATAAGACACATCCCGGACGAAAGTCTTGCTCTTTTCAGCGATGTTGACAAACTTTACGGAATGCTTTTCTTGTATTCGGACATGACAATAAGACTGTGGCGTCGCATGTCCGAGCTGCATGATGCCATAAAAGGGCGAAGTAGCAGTAATGAATGATTACCGTGACGAGGTGAGGCTCAGGTCCAGTTTGGCCAATTCGCTTCAGCATCTGCAAAGAACGTGACGAGAAAAAAAATCGCACAGAACCAGCTCAGTTGAGTCAAAAGCTTAGCGACTACTATGTTTGATAAAATTTTGAATTTCCCATCAGTTTGCGACTATATTCGGTTGAGTTGCGCAGTACATGTCAACGCGTTTTAAACATGCCGAAAATCTATACTCAAGGCAGCCTAACGAAGCAACTGGAATATTCAGCCCCTTTTGTGCCTCGTGGTCTTTATTATTTTGACGTTTACCCTACGTGAAACAGCATCATTGGGCTGAGAATTAATGAAGACAGTTGAGAGTGCACAGTATCCCTCCTTAACCACAGTTTACCTTCGTTCAGCTCGTACTATCTAGCATTCTAACATTCGCAATTGTTTGGCCATATTTAGGCACTATACTAGCCACCACAGTAACAAATATTAGGCCATAATGTCCCGAAACCGTGATATCACTACAAGAGACGTCACAGTGAAGGGCTACGGAAATTTAAACCGACTGATGTTCTTTAATGTTCACCTAAATCTAAGCACAGGAGCCTCAAGCATTTTCGCTTCCATCGAAAATGTAGCCGCCACAACAGGGATTCAATCCCGCGACCTGCGAGTTAGCAGTCGAGCGCCATAACCCCGAGACCACCGTGGCGGGGCAGCCAATATAAGCCAGAGCTGGTTGCATGCGAGTGAATATCGTCTGCCAGAACACCCCCGACTGCAGTTTACCGACCATTCACTAAGTTGCCAAGAAGAAACGCTAAAATATTCTCTCACACGCGACATAAAAATGCGTGGCACACTTAGTCGAAGTCGCGAATACTGACATTAGGTGTGAAGAGAAACTGAGAACAATTCGAAGAACTGGGGAATCTGTGCACGTAATTGACGTAAATGCTAACACGCGAAGGTCGGCCTATAAACTACCATTTAGGCGTCATGGCCTAGTCAACGTGCTTGACACGATATAGTGTCACGCGCATAGTTGCTCGATTTATACAAAAAGGCATCCACCCTCCTCGTAACGCTTGGATCAACATCAAACAATGGGGCACAGCCAGCTGCCCGCAAACTGCTTCGCATATAACGTCCATTACGGCAGCACGTGAGATCACATTTTCTTTTTTAGAAGCGAAGCTCCTTAAGGCATGGGTAGTGCGTCCCCTTTGTGTAGTAGCCAGCTCTCGTTTCAGTCATTAGAATGTCCGCTGAATGGCAATACTTGTATATGATGAACATATGATGAAAAGATGTGAGATAGCGGTACTTGGAGTGTTCACTAGATGCACAGACGTACAAACAGACAGACATAGGGACATGCGGACATACATACATACATACATACATACATACATACACACACACACACACACACACACACACACACACACACACACACACACACACACACACACACACACACACACACACACACACACACACACACACACACACACACACACACACACACACACACACACACACACACACACACACACACACACACACACACACACACACACATATACACACATACACACATACGGACGGACGGACACGGGCGGCAGATGATTCATAGTTTGCCGATAAAACCCTTGGAAGCTTCACCCCCGTCATCATCATTTACTTAATGGATATCCTGCGATTTCTTTTTTTGCGAAACTATACAGGTATACCAGACAAAGCAGAGAAAATGAACCCAGAGGAACTCCAAAGGGGGGACAAACTATCAGCTTTCATTTATATGTGGAGCAAGCATTTTTTTTATTCTTGTTAAAGTGTATTAGCCTTTTGAGATTTCATAATTGGTCAATCAATCCACTGTACACTGCAGTGATGCACCATACTCTCTTTCAGGTGGCATTGGGCGCAGGATCACGACGTCTAATACAGGTATTCCACAACCCAGAGTACACGTACCGTGTGAGCCGTCGGCATAACAGACGGGTCCACCCAGAGAAGGTTGAAGTGCGGGACGGTGCCGGCCGAAGCAGTGGTGTTGGTGACGTTGCGCAGGGTGCGATGCAGAAGCCGCAGGAAGTAGCCACCCAGTGGTGAAGCCTGGTCGGCTACGGCGAGCACAGTCACACGGCTCGGATCTACCAGCTGCGCACAGGGTGCGACACGGATTGCATATATGACGTGGGCCGCAACATGATTCACCGAGGTTGCGTCAACCTTCACATTGCTGTAGAACTGGAGCTACGCTGGTGCTACAGCGCGCTCAGATAAATGAGACACGGTATTCTTGAACCGAGGTTGCGGCGATTGCTTTCACGGCTGCGAAGAAAAGGCTTAAGCGTTTTATTTAACTATATGGAACAAAACGTGAAAATGAATAGGAACGTAGTATGATCCACCATCCGAAAGTGGTGTATTACTCGCCTTCACTGCTTTTATTTTCTCAGAGAGTAGGTCATTTGCGCGTAAATCAGACTAGACTGAGGAAAACTTCATCCTACAGTGATTCATATCGCACAAGAGAAACGACAGCGTTAAATATAAGGGTACTTCATATTCGCTAGGGAAGCCATATAGCAACGAATATTAACACAAGTAACCCGTCTATATAGTGTCATGGCCCCAAAGAAAACTCTGAGGATGAATTCGCTGGTGTTGAATCTCGGTGACGGTGCAAACGGAAAAAGCAGCTTTAAAACGCCCAAATAAGTGGCTTTTGAAAGGGAAAAAGGAAGAAATAAGCGCAGTTCATTTACTGCCTCTCTCTCAATGAAGGGCACCTTCATATTTCTGCGCAGGGGAGGGGGTAAAGAGGGATTAAAAAGGATAGGAAGGAATTAAAGGTATATAGATAGAGGAACAGCAAGACAGAGAGGCGCAGGGACAGCCACATACGGAAGTAAGAAGATAGGAAAGATAGACACGGTCGCAGAAATCCGAGGACGGGGCACCATTCAGCGAGAGCTCTTGTCGGCGTCAGGTGATGGCGTGGGGCGAGCTAGTCGGCCAGAGCTGTGCTGCCGTCGGAGATCGCGGGGGCACAACCGGTCGGCGCGGAATCCAGCGAGCGAGTCGAAAACGCCCAAAAGGGCTATGGGCAGTAGGCGTGCGCTAGGTTTCCCTTCAGGGAGTGGAGATTCGTTGCAGCGCACCCTCTCCCATTTAAGTCAATGTATGGGGCAGACTTCGCTCGTCCCCCCCACCCCCCTGTTTAAGTGAATAGGGAGGCAGCTACGCCTCTGCCCCCCACCCCCAGCCATGCGCACGCCTACGAGGGCCACTCACCTCAGGGTCGTGCAGATTGTGTTCGTCAACCTTAGTCATGACGACGTGCTTGTGCTGACGTATGAACGCACGGATATCTTGCAAGCTTGCCGGCTGTTCAAAAAAAAAAGGCATTTTTAGAACCACAACTACATGCATGATGATCGGAGGTAGTAAAAAGGGATTAAAAAACGACTACGTTGCCAGAATAGTTTCTGAATAATCGCGCCAATACATTAGAGAACCAAGCTTTATGTGTGCGGTCTACTTAGAGTTACAAGCCCAAAAATACTAGTAAGGATAACCTTCTAGGATGTGGCGAGAGACTTCTCTTTAGCCTTTTGCCGTTCGCAAACAGGGAAAGGTCGCAAGGTGCCCGGAACATAATACGTACATTCTGTGGGCAGGTGACCGGCTGCTTGACAAACGGACTGTACAGAGCAATCTGTCCAACCGTGTCCAACTTCATATGCTTGGCAACCTAAAGAAACAAAGAAAAAAAGAACAGGTTCCATCTCACTTCACTTGCAGATCGGCACTGAGCGATCAACGACATGTGTTACGAAAACGAATAGTCTAATTCGGTCCGCTAGATCAGACAGGTATACCGTAAACGATATCGTTCCTAAACTCAGTGAGGCATGGCATCAAGCTCGGAATGCTCAAGAATCATACGATCTCTACGGATGCCACTGCCGGACAAAGATCCGATTGAAGTTTCGAAGAAAAAAGGTCAGTTTCGCCGCAAGAGCGAAGCAATGAATGGGACAGCAACAATTTGGAACGTATTTCTGAGAACAGCGAGCAGATCTAAACGCGTAGCGTGCATGCTGCTCGCGCAAATGACGCACGAAGACAACATACACAGGACGAGACCGAACTAATAACGTTTACCGCATGACACTTAACTCGCTGTTTGAACAAAAACGACACACGAAACGTAATCACAACAGATGGGTGTGAACTAACAAGCGTCCCAATTGTTATACTTCGCAGTGTATGAAAATCACGCTCTTTTCGCAAACGGGGTCTGTGCAGTGAGCGAAGTGACCTTTGTGGGCCCGGCAAATAACGCGAACGTTCCGATGAAAGCCGAAGGCACACGATTCTTCCCACAAAAGGATAAGCGCGTGCACGCACAAGCGTGCGACCTGCGACCTTCACGACACCACTCCACCATGGCGTACTCCAAATAATGAGTTGATCTTGTGGACTGGTACATAATTTGGGCAACCACAACTCATTGCTACAAATGCGCCCTTCTCAAGCGATACCGCGCCCCGCCGCGGTGGTCTAGTGGCTATGGTACTCGGCTGCTGACCCGCAGGTCGCGGGTTCGATTCCCGGCTGCGGCGGCTGCATTTCCGATGGAGGCGGAAATGTTGTAGGCCCGTGTGCTCAGATTTGGGCGCACGTTAAAGAACCCCAGGTGGTCGAAATTTCCGGAGCCCTCCACTACGGCGTCTCTCATAATCATATGGTGGTTTTGGGACGTTAAACCCCACAAATCAATCAATCAATCAAGCGATACCGAAGTACGAACGATGGCACTATGTATGAAATATGCAATAACGCAAATTCATTTGCCACCACGTGGAAGGATGGAAGTATACAATCAACTCACGTTTCTGTCGAAGACCACATAAAATCGAGCATGGTGACCTTCGGTAATGGAAGCTTCCTCAAATAGCTTGTAATCTGGAGTAAGTACAATAAAAAAATAAGTATAAGGCATCAGCGCGATCTCCACGAGAAAGTTATATTTCACTTTAAAAACAGTGTATCCGTTACAGGTTTGGTGAAGCCATTCATTTGCAAGTAAGCATTGTGACGCCCTGGAAAGGGAATTCATGCCGCACTTATTTTGTAGCTCCAAAGAGTGAAAGTACAAGCGGTCATTTCAAGGAACCACTACAGACTGGCGTGAAGTGAAAATAGACAATGTAGCAGTTATACTACTACACAAGACTGTCACAGTGTTCTAAGCAGCACGCTTTCTGTTTGTTTTCTTGAGCACTAAAAAAGCACCAGATTACTACCGTCAGCAGGTCGTTATCCTGTCGTATTTGATCTAACATGTACAGACGCATTGATGCTAATATAATTTAATGTATAAGCATCCCTGGCTTTCCTTCTCCTTCCCTTTCTCTATTAAAACATTTCTGCAATATTGTGTCTCAATGCATAGTGAATAACGGCAGCGAAATCTCACCTGCGGCGCCATTAACAAAGAAGCCAACCACCTTGAGTTCATGCACTTGATCAAAGGCTGTCTTGTCCACTTTGCCCGTGATCACAGATATGCTGGGCCGGGATGCCTGGAGTTTCAATATTATATTGTCACCCGCAATAACGATGTTATAACAATATTACAAAAGAAACACATCGGGCACCTCCGTAACGAGACGTTTAAAAACTCGCCTTTTGAACCCAGGAAAGCAGAGAGGACGACGTTCTTCTGCCAGTGTAAGGAACCGCCCTGCCCTGGCGGAAGAGGAACCAGCTGCCCACTGGAACAGCCAGTAAATCAAAGCGTTACATAAAATACCACTACGCTATTTTTCACGAGGGCAGGACAGACAAGTGCATCACAAGACCTCCTGTCATTCACTTCATTATCTACGTTTGTAAACAGCGGCGGACGCTGTCCACATATACGTAGGTAGCGACATCGCAGCGCATTGGCTCCGCCCAGCCGTCCCAGCTAAAAGCGCGCCACCGGCGTCTGTCGTGACGTCACAAGTGGTACAGCAGGGACGCAAAAGCCGCCTGCGAGAACAGCGCGTCGAGACGCTTCCCGCATGTTTACAAGCAGCGGCCGCAACGAAAAATTGCAGTGGCTGTAGTAGGGGCTGTGAAATGAACATATGAGTCATGTTGACGCGTAGCTCTATAGCATTGAGAACATCGTCAAAACATGAAATGTCTAAATGGCGGGAATGTGGCTCATTTGCAAGATTTCATGGCTGTTGTGGAAGTCTGCGTCGCAAGTGTAAATTTTAATTTGTTAGGTATTGCAAGAACGACATTTCCCAAAGTTCAGCAAGAGGCTCTAGGGTACAGTGTGCTAATTCGCAGTGTAAAAATACATTGCGACGAATTGTTACGGTAAATCTCCGCATATAAAAAAAGTGTCAGATAAGTTATTCATGCAAACTACGAGGCTGATCTCGGCGACACTTTCATCCGCAGCAGGCTTGCGATAATGCTTCAACTGCATGCTGCGGTTAATGTGTTTATGTGCCAACTGCAGGGTCTGTGGCTCAATTCCTACGCTCAAGCCGAGGCGGTACTGACCGTAAATATACTTGGCAAGTAGCCCGATTAAGTGCCGTTTTTTTTTTTCACAAATTTTCTCAAATTTGAAAATCTCGTGACGCGCAATGCAACCGCAACAGCCCAGCCCGATGCATTTGTGTCAGGTGTATCATCACAGCCGTACACAATCAATGAGCCCACCATTTTTTTCGCTGCAGCTGCTTTAATGGACGATGTCCACGCAGAAAGAAACACGTGCTCGATGACCGTATGAAACCTTTAGTACACGCGGGTATAACAAAATCCTTTGGAGCGTCTAAGACTGTTGAAGCTATATCAACAATGGTAACCGCGAAAAAGTATTCGCACATGGTAATATACTATCCACAACGATATAACGTGCTTCGAAGTAAATGAGCTTGATATGCCTCCACACAAGGCTTATTAAAAATTAATAATTAAGTAAAGTGGTTTGGCACATTACAATGACAAACGCTTGACAGAGCTAATCGTTTTTGCTGAGTGATCCGCTCCAAAGCATAATCGATGAAGCAGCGTCGAAGGCAAGTTCTCGCATTTCACACCTGCAGATAATCTTCTTGCGACGGTTATCGTAAACAGAAAAAGGTCACAGTTTCGCCAAAAGGGTGAATCAATGAATGTGATAGCGACATATATTCGATTTTCTTTACGAAGGAAGACTAGCATCTTTAGGGGCAATATTAATTGTAGTGAACATGCGCTTGCTAACTAACCAAGTTCCCTGCGGCGCAGCTACAGTAGATGACCACAACAACGTTTGTGCATAGTGGCAGCGTTGATATAGGAAGTGAGGCTGATAGTCAACTCGTTTAGATCCGATCTCAAGTAACTCTTGAAAAACGCTGGTGTAAGAGGATACGGCCGCTCCAGGTGCACTTTAGGCACCGTTTTTTCGTGCAGAGACGCAGCACGTAGAAGCTCCCACCTGATGTGGGGGCCCAAGCAGCGCGCTGATCGTTGCCGTGATAGCACGGCAACCACAACACGCCTCCCCCCATCCTTTGTTCACTCACAAGATAGCGCGTGCGCAGATGACTCCGGCCAGAAAGGCGTTGTTTGATACGCAAAAAGACGAGGCTTGCGCATCTTCCTCCGTGTATATATACATGCATATACGTATACGTGAATGACGGCGGCTCCAGCGGCGGCGGCGGCGCTGACGACGACGGCAAAAACCAGCCGATACTGCCCATACTATTCCTATTGCAATAAGAAAAAAAACTCCAGGCCCAACTTCACTTTCCCTTCCTGCGGAAATAACATTACACATCATCGCTACACTATCTTTTCTTTGCATGACAAAATGAATGGATATATACAAAGAACTTTATTTTTACGTCCTGTACAGGGTGTTCCCACCCTGTACGTCGAGACCGGAAGGCCAAGCCTCCTAGCCCTGTCATGGGCGTACTGGTGATGATATATGGTGTTTTTGGCGCAAGGGCCATTTGATGGCCAAAGAGCGCCAGTTCATGAGACAGGAATGTGGACAATGGTTGTGATTAGCGGCTGTATAAGGGCCATAAAATTCCTCGCAGTAAAGCGGGTAAAAACATACAAGTAATAAAATCATGACTATGCCGTGAAAGGTGTGCATGGTGTGAATAGGTGACAAAAGTTGGTGATAATGAAAAACGATGGTGGACATGTATGGCATTAGCACAAGTACCTCACACGTTAGTACCCTTGCGTGCAAGGGCCGTGAGGCAAGTGCTTTCCTGTGTAGCCACCGCAGCAAAAACCTCTCTAGAGAGGTCGTGCTACGGTATGCCCGGGTATATGATATGAAAATTATGGATTTCCTTTAAAAACGCTAATAATGATTTGTGACTAAAAAGCGGTTCCCTACTGACGAACATTGCAGGGTGTAAAGGTATATGTTGTCGGTAGGATAGTGGGAAGTGTTGTCTTCTTAGAGTATCTAAATGTTTACATTGAATTAAAACATGAAGAACTGTTAATGCCATCATGGGCGTACTGGATATATAGCCAGAACTTCGGGGATATGGTCGAGAGACTATCATCTCATTCCTGTACACAGTTCCCAGGAAATGTCAGGGCCAAGCGGCTCACACTCCCAAGCAAATGTTCTAGCGTACATACTTCTTTCTTGCATGCCTTGCAAACAGCGTCCATATCTTTTATGTCGTACCATTCTTTTGTCTGTGCCGCTGAGTAATAAGACTGACTGTAATTGTCTAAGTGTGACTACTTGTGTCCCGTTTAGTCTACTGTGAGTGGGTGAAAACTCTCTCCTTCCGAGGTGGTAACGTCTGGTAATTTTATATGTCGTGGGCGTATCCCGTTGTATATTTTTTAATCCAGCAGAATCAAAGCCATATGTAAAAGTGACCCGCTCCGTAAGTTCGCGGGCAACGCTGTTGGTCAATTCATTTGCATTCATGGAATTGTCATCGAGTGATCCGAGGGGCGCTGGAAACCAACAAATGCAATGAGTATCAATGGCTTGTTTACTAATAAATCTAACTGCTTGTGGTGCGGTCTTGCCCCTGCTGAAGGCTTTGATGGCTGGTTTTCAGTCGCTCTATATCTCGGTGTATCGATCATTCGTCAGGGCCAACGCGATGGCAACCTGTTCAGCGATTTCCGGTTTGGAAGTGTAAACCATTGCGCAGTTAGTGCATCTGCCCTGGTGGTCTACTACCACCACTACGAACTTAGTTCGGTCCTTGTATGGCAGTGAGAAGACAATACAAACCCCTGTCCCCTTGATCCGTTTTTTTTTTTTCAATGAAACCTTAGCCCAGGCTACCCTTCTGGCGACGTTGAATGTTTGGTGCATATTTCTTGGCAACGGGGCTACGATGATGCTCTCGGCAAGGTCCTCTGGTATCCTGTCTCCTGGTTGATGATAGGGTTGATTATGATTCTATCGAGGATCGAACTCCCCGTTCAAGTTGTTGAGAGACTTGCTGTTTGTGACTTTTCTTGAGCCGCCGCAATTGCTGTAGTCGTGTTGTGGACCCCTAACTTAAGCAATTTTCGAGTGCTGCATGCTGCAAATCGGGAAACCCAGCGCACTATTGACGATTTTCTTGATGGCCACATCGAGCTTGTTTATTGAATTTGTATCCAGTTATACATAGAAGCCCCCGAATATTAAATATGACATAATACAACAGTCTACTTGAGTGGCGTCGGGAACAGAGGCCTGCAGCTCGTCGGTCAGGAGCGTAATAGTTCGCGTGACGCTGGCCCTGGCGACACCTCGGCTCTTGCCCAGCCGCTTAACTGATGCCATCGGAGCGAGAAGTCTTGGAAGGGCGTGACCGGGGGGTTTCGGCACCAGAAATAATAGTCGCGTAGTAAGGAACCCGTGCCCTATACCAAGAACTCCTTGTTTATTCAACTGCTCATGCCTCAACCTCTTCTTTCTTCTCCCCCATATCCTACTCCTTGTGGCCGCCCGTCCGCAATCATCAGCAACATAAACCAACCTGATGAGATTGTTCCCTTTCATGCCTTTTTGTCTCACTGCAAGTTGCCTGATCATCCGGTATGCGTTCTGTATAGAAGATAATTTTCTTGAGTTCCATTGATTCCTGCCATTTGCATCTATAAAAAAGCAAAGTAACCTCATCGTGTCAACTTTGGGTATATTAACCCCATTTTCGGTCAATATGAGTATGTCACTTTTAGATAGTGGTTTCCAGCCCTTAGGTCTTCTCCTTTTTTTTTCTTTTCTGTAAAGCAACAACGGCGATTTGTGTGAGGAGCACCCGATACGGCATCAAGTACTCCTCCACTGTGTGAACCGCTTCTATAAGGGCACCCTGTACTGTCCATCACTGCCGCCAGTACATCATATAGTAAGGTCATAATAATAATAATAATAATAATAATAATAATAATAATAATAATAATAATAATAATAATAATAATAATAATAATAATAATAATAATAATAATAATAATAATAATAATAATAATGACTACGTCAACTGCAGGACAAAGGCCTCTTCTATGTTCCGCCAGTTAACTCGGTCCTGTGCTTGCTGCTGCCAATTTATACCCGCAAACTTCTTAATCTCATCTGCCCGCCTAACCTTCTGGCTCCCCCTAACCCGCTTGCCTTCTCTGGGAATTTAGTTAATTACCCTTAACTACCAGCGGTTATCCTGTCTACGCGCTACATGCCTGGTCCATGTCCATTTCCTCTTCTTGATTTCAACTATGATATCATCAACCCCCTTTTGTTCCCTAATCCACTCTGCTCTCTTCTTCATCAGCATAGGTGGTATGAATGTTGCTGATATTTTCCAGTTTTCTGGACATGCCGATCATGCCCAGGTTCAATAGGACGGAAGATATCACCGAGCCTTGAGGGGTTCCACGATCACAGTTGAACCACATTTGAGTTGGTGTCTCCTACCATTAACCTCGATGTACGTGCTCCTAAGAAAGATTTGACGCAACTATACATTTTTATCCAAGTCCAACTTCCTCTATTGTATCAAGTATGTATCTGTGCCTACGACAGCGCCACCACAATTTCGCGACGTATGTCGGGTGGAATACGTCTATATTCTGTTCTCGTCAGAACCAGCGACGCTTCAGTATTTTAAGTAACAGGGTATCACTAACTAGCCTCGCAACGTGTTTCATCAAATCAAAGCGTTCGACAGTGTGTAAGCCTTATAAGACTGCCTCGCTCGTACACTGCAGTGCTATGAATACGGTGCCCTTGAGCACTGGCGTAGGTGAACGGAAGAAGATAGGTTTAATCCCCTCCCTTTTTTCACCAAAAATGTTTTACTTTTTCACGCGTATACATACGCGAACTCACACAAATGCGAACACGAACATACGTGAAGTATCGTTAAACCACTCCTTCTCCCCCCTCTGAAAAATATTTCTGGCTACACCCGTGCGCTTGAGATATGCGATATTCGAGAATTATAGCAATTTTCGCGACGCTTTTGATGCGACATTAAATTGATTGCGCCTCAATACAAAACTAACACGACAAGTCTTCTCACAAAAAAGTGGGCGAAAATGTTTTGCATCGAAATTAGTTCAAGTGGTAATGCTAGTGCGACTTTTTCCAATAGTTTTGCAAGTATAACGCATGCTACCTACAGCTTCTACGCAACAACTTAAGGCTAACAAAATAAATTTTGTGCAACTGGGCACACGTATGTTTGTATACCAGATAGGTGCATCTCTGAAGGCAGTGATCAAATAAAGGCTTGAATATTCTTTACCGAGAAAAAATGGCCGGGCACCTCATAGTAAAACAACAATAAAAGAGTATAAAAATAAGGGCCATTGCAGAGTATGATAAACTGTGCGATATGATACAGATTTCTTCGTAAACAGTGGAGTAAGGCTTCTTATATACTTGCACCTGACAAAAGAGCCTAAAATCTCAACTGTACCAATGACGCCCGTTCTGGAAAAAGCCCCACACACACACATAGAAATGGTTCGCGTTTTCAATACCACCAAAGGAACCAACCGATAAATAAAACTAGCCACTAAATCAGCCATACCAGTTGTCGTGGGGACGGTCTCCCTGACGATGGATTCGGGAACATCACAGAACTTAACATTGTCTCCTTCCAACAGCTGGGCGGCAGTCTGCAAAACACAGAAGCGCATATTTTTGTCATTATTCTATGCTCCTTTGGGAGATGATCTGGGACTGTGAAACTAAATCAGAAGAGTCGATGCTGGTTCTACCGTCTATAAGAAGAAAACGGTCACAGCTTTGCCACAAAGGAGAAGCAATGAACGCGATGGCAATACATTGGAAGGTCACGCGCGGAATGGCAAGAAGATAGAAACGTAGCCCGCGTTTTTCACGCACAAATGACGCACGAAACGTACTCACAGATACAGATGAACGTGAATAAGCGACTCAGTTGTTGCTTCGCTGTGCCTGAAAAGCACGCCCTTTTCGCAACCGTAGACTGTGGAGCCAGTGCAGTTACTTTTGTGCGACCGGTAACTACAACAGAATCGATCCGGTGAAAGCCCAAGGCGTACAATCTCGCCACCGCGAGATAAGCGTGCGCACGCGTGGGCGTCTACCCCCCCCCCCTTCCCACAGGGCTAAGTACGCGTGGGAGATGAACGCATCAGCGCGTGTCGTCACGTTGTGCCGATCTGTTGACGCTAGAGAGCCTTCATGTGCGTGGGTAGACGCGTGCACATGAAGGCTCCCTAGATGACACGCGCTCATTGCTCCATCTCGCTGGTAATGCTGAAAACGCGATAGTTCTCCCCGAGATGCCCATCGCCAGTGGTAAGTAATAGATATACATAGCTTGCTGTTTGAACGTTTATTTGTTTCATCGTGGCTCAGTGGCTAACGCTTCGCATTCACAATTCAGAGCTCCGACGTTCGATTCCACACGCCGGAGTCTGTATCGTGATTATTTTATTTCTTGCATTTTCATTTATATAGCTACGGTGAATGACGGCGACGCCGGCTGCAAAATCTAGCCAAGGGTGTCCATATGATTTCTATTGAAATAAAAAAACAGTTACTTTTTTGGTGATTCCTGACATGACTCACATAGGATGCTCCTTAAAGAGACACGTTAACTCTCTGATGAGCCCTTTCAAACTCCAACGAGAGTGCAAGAAAGTTAACATGATTCTTGATTCGCGTGACAAGTCAGGCTGAAGTCAGTCTGTGCAAGGCTAAAGCATACGTCATATGAACACAGATTGATTTATATGTGGGGTTTAACGTCCCAAAACCACCACATGATTATGAGAGACGCCATATAGCAGGGCTCCGGAAATTTCGACTACCTGGGGTTTTTTAACGTGCACCCAAATCTGAGCACACGGGCCTACAACATTTCCGCCTCCATCGGAAATGCAGCCGCCACAGCCGGGATTCGATCCCGCGACCTGCGGGTCAGCAGGCAGGTACCTTAGCCACTAGACCACCGCGGCGAGGCTATGAATACAGCAAATACAGTCACTTCTTGCTGTGCAAATTGTGTGTAAACGGCGGTTTTAATGAAGGCAGTAGCTTCTATTTATTGCTTTTCGGAATCGACACTGTTTGAGATTGTTTGCGTGTTTTACATCGGCAACAATGCGGCTTCATTCTTCCAACGATCACCTCCTTTCTCCATGAAGAAGTCTCAGTTGATAAATAATGCTACCGCCATTAGATACAGGATGAAAACAAACACAGTCATAAGTATTATAAGTAACTTGCAAGACCTCCAACCGGGAAAACACTGAACTTAAGTTATTTACGTAACCGTAAGGGCCGTCCCACGAATGCAGAATCCAATGTAGCGGCGGGTTTCACAAGGAACAACGAAAACTAAATGCCGCTGTTTTATGCCCCACAGCTAGGATTATGAACCACGCAGGCAGCGGCAAACTCTCTATTGACTTTGATCTCCAAATGTTTCCTTACGTATGCATAAATCTGCGTTCAATAATGACCTAGCATTTTGCCCCAATCGAAATGCGGTCGCCAATAAGTGTGCCCCACCATAAAATTTAATCCGACGCGTCTTGTGAAGGAACCAATAGCTGTTTTTGTTGGCAAGTATGTTGTCATTTCACCTACACGAATTTTGCCAAACTTTTAGCTTGATTTAGTAATGTATACTAAAGTTTTTTTTTAGAACAGGGAGGCGACTTTGGGAACGTCTGCTGTTGGGCTAGTTTGTCCTGTGTACCTTGTAGTCTTGATATTTACGCAAATCAGTTCCACTTAAGAGTTTGGGCAAATTAGAGAAACTGCAAACTTGACTCCAAGATCAATAAGGCATCCCTCGCACATCAAGTTCAAACCAATTTATAATGCCTAATTAGAGCAGTCGTGGACATGACTGAACGACTCGTCACCTTCCTAGCCGTTTTCCCGGCGGTATAGATCCGAGCAGCGCTCGATTGTGCTTGCCGTTTCAGCGGCCTTGCTGTTACTTGGGCACTCTGAAGCGCGACCATAAATCTTTGGAGATCTGTCAGTCTCTCGGGCAACGAAAACACGTCATGCTGGCAGAGGAGTCGAGCGAGAGTGCGAAGCAGCACTGAAGGTCAACGAGCGCTCTATGGGACCCGAAGTTCCCCTTTATAACTGACACAGAGCTCGCAGATCTCCACAGACAGAGTTATTGGAAAGTATGTCCCCATTTCTTCTACGCATAATATTGTAGGAATCGGTCAAGAAGAGAGTCATCCATGGGCTTTAGTTTAGACCATTCAATGTAACATAGATTGATGAAAGTAAGAAGTATAGATAGGTTGTGTTAGCGACGCCTGAAATCTGTTTTGGAAGCGTGTGCCCCACCGTAAAGAGAAAGAACTGGCAGGTGAACGACAAAAGGAGGCGGAATCCACAGATTCACCATGAGAAGGTGTTAACTGAAGCATTCATGTGTAATCCATTTCGCTATCGTGCTCATAAATGCACCTTAAAATGTTATGGCAGCATAGCTTTATCCAGATATGAAAACGAACAAGTGTGCCTCATACAATCGAGGTTTCGTATACCACACCACATCAGATACGCAAAATAAAAACAATAGAACTAAACGAGCGATAGCGTAGGCTAGCATTCAGTCAAAAATGACGCTTTACGCTTCAACACTTGCCAATCACGTATGTCGGTTCACGCCCCTGACTGACGGGTAGCACTGTAGTTTCTCTGTTCAAGTAGATAAGTGCTGTGTTTCATGCCATCTTTTCCGCCGCAGTACGTCCCTTCGATACGCTTGTGCTGTCTACTTCCCTTCGCGTTTGTCAGCGTACGGACGCGCAACTTTCTTGCTAGTGGATCCCTACAAACCAGCTGAGCTATCTGCCATTCAGAGTGGCTAAATCTTGGAACATGCCTCATCCTGACAAAAATTTGAAAATTTAATAGTTTTTTTTTTGCAACAACATAAGCAATGTTGCGGGAGATCAGGCAGCTTGTTAAACAGGTTGCGAGTGTCTCGGCCATTTTATACACAGATGTCAGCATAACGCTAGTCGCAACAGGAGAAACGAAAATTTGCATATACAGTGTGCTATGCATGTCTCACACAACACACGAAAACGAAAATTAATTAGCAATGTTTTTAAGTAATATGTCAAAAAGTTCATGGTAATGATGTTACGTAAAAATGGTCTAAGTAGTGCTTTACGTGAAATTTACGTGATGTGAGAAAGCAGCTTTTTTTTCTAAATATGCCAAGCATTTATAATGAACTTCGGCGACTTTGACTGTATCTATCTATCTATCTATCTATCGATCTATCTATCTATCTATCTATCTATCTATCTATCTATCTATCTCTCTGTCTGTCTGTTTGTCTGTCTGCCTATCTATCAATCTATATCTATCTATCTTTCTATCTGGCCGCCTATGACTTACCTTTCCTGGCCGTTTTGATAATGATATATATCAAAATTCAAATGTCATAACACGATTGTATCACGAGCATAACTGACTAGTCATAACAATAAAATCATGACATGCATGTCATAAATGTCATTCACATTTCATGACCTTGCTGCTCTTGCGGTGGTTTCGTTCACAAGACATATTGCAAAACTGGGTGACAGACCAGAACGTGGAAATCATGACATGCATGTCATGTAAGTCGTGACTACACGCCATGCTCATACTGTGCTCGCGGTCGTTTCGCTAGCTTCACACTACCGAATTTGCTATTACGGGACGTGAATGGATGACGAAGGCATATGACGGGTGCAAACATGATAATTATGAGATCCGTATCATGTAAAACATGACTACTTGCTACGCTCATAGCGTGCTCGTGGTCGTCTCGCTAGCTCCAGATATACCAAATCTGGTATCACGTGACGTGAATAGACGACGAACGTAATTCACACGTTCAAAAATGATAATCATGACGTGCGTGTTGTGTAGAACATGACTAAATGCAGCGCTCATAGCGCGCTCGCGGCCTTTTTGCTAGCTCCATATTTACCCAATTCGTTATCACGTGACGTGAATAGACGACGAAGGCAAATGGCACGGCGAAACATGATAATCGTGATATGGAACTGATGTACGGCATATCTTTTAACTGATTAAGGGCGCGCACATAGACACGGACACTACAGTACATGAAATCGCACAGACCAAGAGCGCCTGCTCGCAACTAAAGTTTATTCGAAAGTAAGACATACGTATCACTTCTGCCACATGACCTGTCAGGTGAAACAGCAAAAACTAAAAAGGGCTATAAGACACGTGCCTCAGTTAAGATCTTGATTAGGTATAAAAATTCATTTTCTGTCATTTTCTGTTTGAGTGGGCGTGGGAACAGCGCAGAAATGCGGCACCGTAACCTTGCTCGCTTGTTCACACAGGTTGCTTCACTTCTTCACTTCTGCTCGTGGCTGTCGCCGACTGCTGGGCATGAGCCACGGACAGTGCTTCTGCCTGATAGCGACCAGTTTTCGGCCAGTCCAGGATTTGGCCGGAAACACCCCTGCAACATCTTTCCGAGCCAGGCGGCCACTTTATCGGTCGTGACGTCATCGCAAGCCCAGGATAAAAACGGGTGGCACGAACCTGGCCTCTCCAGTGGGCGTGGGAACAGCGCAGAAATGTGGCACCGTAACCTTGCTCGCTTGTTCACACAGGT